GATCCTCCTGCCTCAGCCTCCCAAGTAGCTAGAATTACAAGTGTGTGCTGTAGCACTGGACTTGGGCCATCCTTCCCAATCCGCTGTGGTTCTGGGGATCAAATCCAGGGCCCTGCACAATGCCAGGCAAGTGCTCTACCTCCAAGCTACACCCCCAGGCCAGAATTTTGGTTCTTACATTTTGTACTTAATGAATTTATTAGGGCTGAGGTTGTGGCTCAGAGGTATAGAGCTCGCTTAGAATGCGTGAGGCACTGGGTTCGATCCTCAGCACCACATAAAAATAAAATAAAGATATTGTGTCCACCTACAACTAAAAAATAAATATAAAAAACAAGTTTTTAAAATGTATCTGTGCACATGCACATGGAAATACACATTTCAGATTGTGGGATGTTTTGTAATAGAATATTTTTACCTAATCTTCAAGGTGACCTTGTAGATGCCTGCCCCACGCTGTCTTCCCCTCCCCAATCCCCTCTTCTTAGGGTTCTTGGCTGATTGACACTGCTCTCTTACAGGCTCTGATGACCTCTGTCCCACCCAAAGTCAGGGCCGGGGATGGGGAGGGAGTGCTCAGGGCTGAGTGCTGAGCAGACCCTCCTACTGGGGTGTGTGTGTCTGTCTGTCTGTCTGTCTGTCTTTGCAGTACTGGGGATTTAAACCAGGAGCTCTACCACTGAGCTACATCCTCAGCCCTTTTTATTTTTTGAGACAGGGTCTCTCTAGGTTGCCCAGAATGGTCTTGAACTTGCACTCCTCCTGCCTCAGTCAGGATGACATCCCCACACCACAGCATCTGGCCCTCTGCTGGTACCTTCACTCACTCTCTCACTGAGTCACATCACATCCTTATGTTCCCAGTCCCTGTTCTACATACTAACAAAGTGAGGCTCAGGGAGGAAGGATGTGGGGAGGATCACACCCTAGAGGTGTACCTGAGCCAGGATTCAAACCTAGTCTGCAGCCAAGGATCTCACCAGGGTCACAATCCCATCAACAGAGCCCACATATAAAAAGAGAGGTGCGTGTCTTTCCAGCACCTCCAAACAGTGCTCCCCAGCCAGGCAGACTTAGATGCCATGCCCTCAGGCATCAGCTAAGTGAGTGTCCCTGAGCCCCCTCTCAGGAGAGGGGGGAGTGGCCCCCCAAACCAGAGGGGAGTTGAAGTAGGTGGACTGGACACTCCCAAGCCCCCACACCTCAGCACCCCACCACTGACCTAAGAAACCTTTCAGGAGCTAATCTGGGATGTGTCCTGCCTGGGAACAAGACGCTGGGCAAGATGGTCTGCAGTGTGTTATCATCTGGGCTTTGGGGTGATGAGTTGCTGATGTTTGCTCCTGGAGAGTTAGCTGCAGAGACCCAGGGGTGAAGGTGTCCCTGAGGATGTCTCTGCCTGACCTTTTCCACTCAGGTTCCACTCTCCCTGCTGTGTTGGAGGAAAGACCACCGACATGACAAAGGCATAACTGGGTCTCAGGAGAGAGCAACTTCCAGGCCCCAATCCCACCCCACATTCCAGAGCTGACCAGTAGAGTCGGCACTCGGAGTTTAATGAGTAATCGCTGAGCAAAGGTTTAATTATATGATTGGGCTTTTGTCTGTTATTTGATTGTTTCTCTTACTGGAGGAGCAGGTGTGTGGTGTTATTAGATGACAGGAGTTGAGACTGAGTGGTGACAGCACTTGGTGCTGAGCTGGACAGAGAATTAGGCCTGACTCTGCCCCTGGGAACTTGGCCTCAAATGCTTACAGGCCTGTTAGTCTGTGGGGTAGCCTCTCAAATGTTCACGTGCACCTGAATATTCTGGGGTCTTTATTAAAACACAGCTTCTCTGTTGGGTAATCCATCAATTCATTATGTCTCATTATGACCTTAAATTAATAGCTCATTTGGAGATGAACATGGGCTCAGAGAGGTGGCCCACAGTCTGTCACGGGCCTGAGATTACACATTTCTGAGATCCCAGGTGATACAGATGCTGTTGATTCAGGACCACACTGGGCAGCAGGCCTCTTGCAGGCCAAACTAGTTATTCTTTCCTTAGTTTTTAATAGGAAATGTATTTATTATATTTGAAATTAAAAAAAAAAATTCCCCCAGCCTTCCCCAAATAACCACTTTCAGTAGTTTTTTTTATTTATTTCAGTGGTATTAGGGATTGAGCTCAGGGATCCTCTGCCCCTGAGCTATATCCCCAGCCCTTTCTGTTTTTATTTTATTTTTCTAAATAATAGGGGCACTTAACCACTGAACCACATCCCCAGCCCTTTTTATTTTTTATTTTGAGACAGAGTCTTGCTAAATTGCTTAAGGCCTCACTAAATTGCTGAGGCTGGCTTTGAACTATACAATCCTTCTGCCTCAGCCTCCTGAGCCTCTGGGATTACAGGTGTGCACCACTGTGCCCCACCCTCAGCCCTTAAAAGCAGGGTCTCACTATGTTGCTGAGGTTGGCCTCAAACTTGCCAACCCCCTGTCTCAGCCTCCCCAGTCTGTAGAATTATAGGTGTGTACATGGTACCCAGCCACTTTTATTAGTTTATCTTTCCAAAGTTTCTCTGTGCCAAAACAAGTAAATAAGACCAAATAAGACCGCACATACCCTGCCCCACCTCCTGCTTTTACACAAATGGCAGGACACTACTATACACATGGTTTGGTTAACAGTTTATCAGTTCATCATGGAGATAACTGACTCAGTTGGCTGACTCATCTATTTTTAGACTTATATTATTATTCCATCCTGTGAATGTGCCACAGTTTATTTAACCAGCCACCTCTTGGTGGACATTTGGTTCTTTATGATGTTTCTAGCTGTCTTTCCTAGCCCTCCATACCCTGGGCAACCTTGCTGTGACCTCCTTCCCATCCCCAATTCCCAAGCCCCTGCAGACAACTCCTGCAAGCCCTCCCCTGATCCTGCAGCCCACCCTTCTTGCTCTTATCTCCGAGGCTCTGTTCTACAGTCAGTCTCCTCCTCCTTTTCCCCCCTCCTCATTTACCTCCCCACTCTCCATCTTTCTATGACTCTCTGCTTGTCTTACCAAACAGACTGCAGCAACTGGAACCCAGGAACCAAGTCTCTGATTCCTGTGGCTTCTTTCCAACCCAGAGCTGTTCACACAGCTGTTTTCAAGAATATTAATTATACTAGGATTAGAGGCTCACACCTCTAATCCCAGCAGTTTGGGAGGCTGAGGCAGGGAGATCGAAGACTCAAAGCCAGCCTCAGCCACTTAGCGAGGCTCTAAGCAACTTAGCGAGGCTCTAAGCAACTTAGCAAGACCCTGTCTCTAAATAAAATGCAAAAAAAGTGCAGGGGATGTGGTTCAGTGGTTAAGTGCCTCTGGAATATTAGTTATCCAGTGGAGGTTGCATGTGAATGGAGTCACTTGCCCACGACTCTGCTGGGCCTGGTGTGGGGTGTAAGAGCTCAGGAGCTACCTGGGGTGGGAGGGACCTCATGCCTCAGGGTTTCCAAAAAAAAGAAAGAAAGAAAAAGAAAAAGAAAGAAAGAGAGAGAGAGAGAGAAAGAAACCCTTTCTGGTGCCTGAGTGTCTAGGGCACTTGGGTGGGTTGTGATGACCAGGGCATCTAGGGTTCTTTGTGCCTTACTGATGTGGGCAATGGGAGGAACCATGATGTGGAGACAGAAGGTGGATGGATATATGTACAGGCGCTAGGATGGGCTCTTTCCTTCCTCATTAACATCCTTGTCATCCTTCATTTGCCAGCTCCAGTCTCAATCATTCTAAGAAGCCTTCCTGGGCTACTCCAGCCCGTGCTGACCTCCCCACCTCGGAGTTCCTGCTGCATGCATTAGTGACAGCAATCACAGTCCTCCACTTAGTCATCCACACTCTGCCACCTGGAATCTCATAAACCTTGTCTGCCCAGTGTGACTCCAAGATCTTCTGTGACAGAAACAGGACTGATTTTATTTCCTTATATCCCTAGGTCCCCCCACCCCCACCCCAGTGTAGCACTAGGCCACTGGGAACTCTTCCACAAAGATTTCCCGAATGGACTGGGATGGTTTCCAGGACTGCTGTGGTAATGAGTGGGGTGGGACAGAGTTGACCACAGATGTGTGTCTGACCAAAACACACATGGATGTCAGTTTTTTGTTATGTGACAAAATACCTGGAAAAAAAAAAAAAACTTTAAAGGAGGAAAAAAAATATTTTGGCTCATGGTTTCAGAGGTTTCAGTGCCTGGTTGGCTGGCTCCATTGCTGTGGGCATTATGGTGGGACAGAGCATTGAGGTGGAAGAGCATGGTAGAGGAAAGCTACTTACCTCAGGGCCATCAGGAAGCAGAGGAAGAGGGCCCAGGGATGACATATAGTTCCCAAGGGCATGCTCCCAAGGACCCACTCCCTTCAACTAGATCTCACTTCCCACAGTTTCTAACCCCTTCCAATAATCCATTCAAATTATGAATCCATCAATGGATTAATCCACTGAGGAAGTGAGAGCCCATATCCAGTCACCTTCCAAAGGTCCTACCTCTAAACACTGCTGCATTGGGGACCAAGCCTTCAGCACATCAACCTTTAGGGACATTCCAGATCCAAGCTATAATAACAGGTGTTTTCTTTCTTTTTTTTTTTTAATATTTATTTTCTAGTTGTAGTTGGACATAATACCTTTATTTTATTTATTTATTTTTATGTGGTGCTGAGGATCGAACCCAGGGCCTCGCACATGCTAGGCGAGCACTCTACCACTGAGCCACAACCTCAGCCCAGGTGTTTTCAAAATGCTACTGTCCCAGGCTGGGGGTGTGGCTCAAGCGGTAGCCCACTCGCCTGGCATGTGTACGGCCTGGGTTCGATCCTCAGCACCACATACAAAGATGTTGTGTCCACCAAAAAAATAAATATTAAAATTCTCTCTCTCTCTTAAAAAAAAAAAAAAAGTGCTACTGTCCCCTTGATCTGTTCCTCAGTCCCTTCCCACCTTGCACCTGGAAGACAATAACAACCACAAGCCCTGAAGGCCAGGCTCATTTGGTCTCTTGATGCTGAAGCAAGTGAAGGGGTCTTTTCAGAAATGTCACTGTCATGAAAAACAACTGAGATGTTAAAACAACGAGACAAGCAAAGTTAATATGTGAATCTGGACTGTGGATTGGAAAAAAAAAAAAACGAAAATGACATTTGGGGCACAATGGGGAAATTATTACTGTGGAGTATTAGATGACAATAGTGTATCAATGTTAGGTTTCCTGAGGGTGACAGAGGTTCGATCATATAAGATAATGTTCTTAGGCAACGTATGCTGAAGTATTAGGGGAGGAATTTTGCAAAATGAAAAGAAGACAAAATGCTTTTGGTTCACTCTTGGGGGAAGTGAGGGGATGTGGGCTATCCCCAGGGGAAACAGATGGCAGTGAGACTTGATGGCTCCCTCCAGGCCTCCTGCCCCTACTGCCCAGAAAACAGCATGCCGACCCCTTGGCCTGACTCCCTCTCTCAGCATCTTTCACACAGGGTCTCCCAGCTGCTCATCTGATGGGAACTTCTCCAGTGGGCAGCCACCTTGACTTGGCCAGGATGGCATACCAAGTGCTTTAAAGGACCACTGCGTGTCTTCCTGCAGGGTGAACTGAATTCTAAACGGATTCTACCCATCTTTGGTATTTACCTAACTCTATGGGGAAAAAGCATTTGATGTCCACAAAATGCCAAGAGTTAGTTCTCCTACCCTGTTTTTGGAGCCCTGTCGATAAGGATATTTGCCATCTTTGTCACTAGATTGGAATACCAGCTTGCTGTTTTAGTTTTTCTGTGCTTTCTTTTTTCTTCTGGGCATATCCTTGCATCATAGAAGCCCACATTTTTAAGGACCTGTAGGATGCTTTGACTTGCTAGCTTTAGCCAGGAGCCTACCTTCTGTTGGATGCAAGAGTTATTTCCAAAATGAGCATTCTGACCTGGTCACTAACCGCCTTCAGAAGTAGGGAATTTGTTCGCAGCCTTCGCAGCCTTGGCTTCCCCAGAGAGAGGGAAGAGGCGGTGGAGGAGGCGGCCCAGGAAGGGACCTGAGGAGGGGGCGGCTCTTCTCCCAGGCAGGGCGTGGGCTGGGCGAGGTCCCCAGCCCACCCGGGCCGTGCCAACAATGGCCTGTTGTAGAAGGAGGCCGGGAAGGAATGTGGCCCGGGGAGTTGGGCGGCGGGGCGGCTGCTGTGGTGGCGGCCGCGGGGCGGGGCCGGCTCTGAGCCGCAGCCTCTTACCTGTGCAGGTAGCTCGCATTTCCAGGAGAGCGGCGGCGCCCGCAGCACCTGTCGCCCGGTGCGCGGGCCAGGAGGACGGCGGGGGACATGGACTAGTAGAGTCCCCTGGGGAGACCTTGCGGAGTTCAGTCCGGGACAGGGCAGGGCGAGGGAGGGCAGGTCCTTCCCCGGGGCTCGCGTGGCCTGCGGCAGCATGAAAAAGAACCAGACGGTGCAGGGCACCTTCAGCAAGCTCTTCGGGAAGAAGCACGCCAACCCCGCCGCCACCTCCCTCTACGCCACCAACCCCCCGTGGATTTTCACCCAAGAAGCCCCGGAGGAGGGGACCAGGGATTTTGGTAAGTGATTCCTGGGGACAGAGCGGGATGCAGGCGAGTGGCCCGCAGCGCTGCCTCCCGCCGGTTCCCGCTCCTCCGAGCGCTGCGAAGGCGGGAGCCGGCCGGGCGCAGGGGAAGGGACACGTTGGAACCTGCGGCTGGCCGAGGGGGAGCTGCTGGGAAGAGGAGGTGCGCACCGGGAATCAGGGAAAGAGCCCCGCGGGAGAGAGGAGCGGGGAAGGAAGGGACCCGGCCGCAGAGAGGGGACAACTTCGCAGCGCCACTTTGGCCCCAGGCCCTCCTTCGAGGTGTTTTTTTGTTTGTTTTGTGTTTTTCCTTTCCTTGGCGGAGCTCGTGTTTGCATTTCCTGAGGTTTGTGGGGTCTCCCCCATCCCCCACCCCCAAATCCGCATTCCCTCCGAGTCAGAATGTTCCTCCTATCTAGGGCTCCTCCTTTCCACTTCCTCCATCCTCCCCAGCTCCTGTACTGCCTCTCCTGGCCCAGAGTGTCCACCAGGCAGAGAGAGGGGCTGCCCTCTGGGTGACCACATGTTTGGCTTTGTGTAGGTGAAGCCTGGGAAAAATCAACATTGGCCACTACTCACAGGTTACCAGCCTATTTGTGACACCAAGTTATTTATTGGCGCTTGCCAGGTCAACCTGAGGCCTAGGTTGTCTGTGGGCTCAGTCTGAGGAGCCAGAGATGGGGCAGTGGAGGCCTGACCCCAGTTGTGGCTGGTCCCTGAATCAGGGTGGTGTGGCTTTGTAGGCCATATCAGCGCAGCCTCCCGTCTGGCTGTGGGTCACCTTGTTATGAAGTTTGTACCCTCTACAACTGGAGGGAAGTCAGAGGAGAGGGACAAGAATTTGTTTCTTATGTATGATTTGTGGATCTGGGTCCAGGGAAGGGGACAAAACAGGGTCACCCATCATCTCCTTAGCTTCACCATAACCACGCTATCTTCACTGACCTTTATGACCACTGTGTGGGTCCCTTAGAGGGTCTCACCAGCCTGGGCCCCTGCTATGGATTCAGTTCAACACCCAGGGTCAAGATACAAGGCAGGGTGGACAGGAGCTGGGGATTCCTGGCCCGAGGATCTCAGATCAGTGGGGGAACAGAGCTAACCATGTGGCTCTGTAAGGAATTCTTAAGTGTATGAGGCACAGAAAAAAAGAGGTAGCTTCTGACTGAATCTAGCATTTGAGTGAGAAGGAAGGACATTCCTGGCATGAGGAAGGCCCCCATGAGTTGGAGCCATGGCTTAAGAACTTACAGAGACTGTGTGCTGGCCTATGTCACTCTATGAGGCCTAAACAGCTCTCCTGGCCTGAATGAAGACATTCCATAGCAAACATTTATCGATCCATTCTTAGGTACAAGGTCCCATCCTGATACCATTCTGTTGCATGGTGGCATGGTGAGGCACACCATGCTATTCCAGTAACTTGGGAGGCTGAGGCAGGAGGATTTCATATTTGAGGCCAGTCTCAGCAACTTAGTGAGAACCTGCCTCACAAAGAAAATGAAGAAGGGCTGGGGGCATAGCCCCTGGGTTAAATCTCCAGTTCCACAACAAACAAACAAACAAAAACAGTAAAATTGTTGTGTCATTGATTGGTTGACTTTTCCTCTAGAGTCAGGTACTATTATTAGCATTCCTGTTTGACAGATTAAAGACAGGCGCAGGGAGGTTACATAACATACCCAAGATCACATATCTTTAAATGGTGGAGCTAGGATCTTCCTAAGTACAATTCAATGATTTTTCCCCCCTGGTATAAGGGATTGAAACCACTGAGCCACTTCTCTAGCCCGTTTTATATTTTGAGGTAGGGTCTTGTAAGTTGGTTAGGGCCTCACTAAGTTAATGAGACTGGCTTTGGGCTCCTTTGATCCTCCTGCCTCAGCCTTCCGCGCTACTGGGGTTACAGGCATGCGCCACCAAGCCTGACTCAATTCAATGATTTTTAGTAGAGTCCTGTAACTACCACCACAATGCAGTTTGAGAACGCTGCCCTTACCCCAGAGGCTTCCTTGTAAGGCAGAGCCAACCTTGGAACCTAGGCAGAGGCCATACTCTTAGCCAGCTTGCTGACCTCCCTCTATGGAAGAAGGGTGAACTTGACCTGAGGGGCTTCTGCCTCAAGAATAGCCCCCCACACACACTTATCCCCCACTGGGAGACCTCAGAGGGGCCTCTGGGGTACTTCCTCTCCATTTTTCCCTGGGCTGAGTTGTCCACTGGTGGGAGACTCCAGTGAGAGAAGAGGGACGTGGTGCACCTCCCGCCAGCTGCTGCCTTCACCCGTCTGAGCAGGGCTGGAGCCCAGGGGACTGTTCCTCCCTGTCCCCAGGGCAAGGCTGAGTCTCCAGCTGACTCAGCCAGGCGAGCCTGCACATGGTGGGGTGGGAAACAGGGAAGGCTCAGCAGGCCGGCTCCCCGTGTTGTGGGCTGTTCCCTGGAGTGCCAGCTGGAACAGCAGAAGCCTTCCTCCTCATACTTGGAGTTAGGGAGGGGAGGGACTGGAGTTAGGGATTCTGGGATGGGATGGAAATGCCAATCCTGCCTTAGGCTTCTGCCTTTGTCAATAATGTGGGGCTAGCCACACTCTGAACCTCAGTTTTTCTTCTCTTCAATGGGGATGGTGTCCAGGTCACCTAGAGGAGGGCTGCCCGAGGCCGTGTATGTGACAGCTTCAAAGAGCACTAAAAAGAAAATTGCCCCAGTGTCCAAGTCGAGTCCCTGCAAGAGATTATATGGCCCACAAAGCCTGAATAGTTACTGCCTGCCCTTTACAGATTTGCCAGTCCTGCTCTAAAAGGCGATTCCTATTATCAGGTCATTCCCAGCTTTGAGCCCTGCCTGCCCCTGTCTGCTTCAGCCCCTCTTCCTGACATGGCTGTATGCCAGAAAAAGTCGGCATGAGGAGGCCATCCTCGGGTTTCAGAAGGGCGGCGGTTTGAGTTCCATAGGGATCCTGAATCCTCCCAGGCCTGGAATGAGATGTCCCTGGTGTCCAGCTCTTGGAAAATAGGTGGAGAACGAAGAGGGGACATCACCATAGACGTGTATAGGGGAATTAAGGAGTAACTGCTTGGTGTGTGGCTACAGCTGTGTAACAATCTGTTTGCACAAGGGTAGGCTGGGTGCCACGGGTAAAATGCAAACAGTCATGTGAAGGTGGTGACAGCTACATTTTCCTTTAAAGAACTTCCCTAACATGTGTTCCAGTAATTAGAAGGACTTCTTGCTGAAAGCAATTGCAATTGTAATTAAGCCTTCTGCCCTCCCCCAGCCCAAACCGGGGGCCTTGAAAGGACACACAATTGTCCTTTAAGTGCATGAGAAAGCAGAGATGTGGATCTTTGAAAATCCCTGATAAGGGACTGAGCTGCTGCAGAGACAAAGCCACCTGGTGGCTCTGCTCTGCTACCTGGGCTCTTGGATTCATTGAGGATCTTTATCTCTGGTCGCTGCTTGGCACCCCAGCCATGGGGTACTCTGTTCGTTGTCCTCTTTTATCCAATGGAAAGCACCTTGCCACAACCACTAGGACTCTTATTTGAAATGCAGATTCCTGGGGTCTCACCTCAGTCACACATGTCAGAGTCACTGGGCCCAGGCTCTAGGTCTTTAACCAGCTCCCAGGTGACTCTCCTGTGTAGACTGATTTGAGACTCCCAGGCTTTCCTTCCCACATGGAACTAGGCTGTTCTCCTCCTTTGACTCCCTGCAGTGTGTACAGTAGGTTGAAAATAAATGTGTATGGGATATGGCCAGCTCCTTATCAGGAAAACTCAGTGTTCCCTAGAGTGGCCACTGGTTCTGGCATTCCTATTCCTGAGGTCCCCTGATTTTGTAGCTCAGGCCAGGCTAAAGGCTGGGAAACCATGAACCCCCAGAGCTGAGCCCCGATTTCCTGCTAGGGCTGAGCTAGCACCAGCTTCAGAAGGCTGACCTGTGCCTTACAGGGGTGTAAAGGAGACGTTTGTTTACTCTTGTCCCCTGGAGGTGTGCTGTGGTTTGCCGGGTGGTTCAGTGTACACACCACACACACACACACACACACACACACACACACACACACACGCCTTCACCAATGCCCCTTTACATAAGCACCTCTCACTGCCATAGCTCACGTCCAAAAAGCAGGCCCTCCCTTGACCCTGCAGACCAGCTACACGGTGCCCTTTCCCTCCTGGCCAATAAATTAATAATAACAATATCATTCTTACTGGTGACCATTCCCTGAACCAGGCTCTGTGCTAAGAGCCACCTGCCCTCTCAACTGAGGAACACACACCGAAGGCTCAGGTTGGTTCAGTGGCTCAAAGTCCTTGCTCTGCGGGCAGCTCAGACATCAAAGAGAAAACAACGTCCTGGTATTTGCTAAGATCAGATTCTGATTTTGTAGGACAAGGTGGGGAGAGTTTCTAGCAAGTTCCAGGTAAAGTCATCCTGCTGTTGTACTAAGCAGCAAATCCTAGCCAGGAAGTAGAGGGCCCTGTTTGCTGTGCCGTTCCCCCTTCAGCCCCCACACTGGGGGGTCCTTTGAGCTGCCTGCCCCAGGGCTCCTCCCCTTCAGTTCCCTCCTCCTCTGTTCTGTGGCTCTTCACCCCAGGGCCCCTCCCCCCTAGCCTAACCTTTAGTGTCCCCTCTGTCCTTGGACAAAGGCCTCGCTCTGGTGCCCTGGTCAGGCCTGCTGGGGCTTGCTGGGACAAACTGGCCTTTTCAGGTTTCTGTCATGTGGACCTGCTAATTAGCAAGGAAGGGCCTCATTAACTCATTTGAGGGTTACATTCACATGGGGCCACCCGCTCCTGCTTCCAGAAGGCAGTGGCTCCCCTAGTGGTGGAGGACAGGATGCCCCACCTTGTCCTTCACCAGTACTCCACTGTGCCTCTACAGTAAGGTAGAGTAGGGGGAGGTCTGTTCTGGGGTGCTGGGTTACTCTGGGTCAAGGCAGCAAACTCTCCAAGTTACTGCCCCACCCCTCTTAAGACCCTAGAATCCGAT